CCGTTCGGGGCTGAAGAGCTCTCTCGAATTCGATTTTCTCGCTGCGATAATTCCCGATTGAACGAAGCGAGCTTCTCTCCAGAATTTCGAAAAGCCCCATCGGCAGAGGTACGAGTACGCTTACGCATTCAATATTGCGCAGACCCTGCGGATTTATTTTCTTTCCCATTATCCTTCCTTCAACAGACCCCGGAATGAAATCCAAGATGGCGGCGCCTCGCCCTCCGAGACGTTCGCGTGACCCGCGTCTCTTTCGCGATATCGCCCTCCACTCATGGATATTTATGCATGCAAAGGATGGAGCAATGACGAGCCGAAATGCGTCCTCAAACTCGCCGAGGGTTGAGGAGAGAAATCCAGGGAAATTCATTCAGTATATCGCCCCCTCGCCTGCGCCAATATGGCCGCCCTTTAAACTTTCCACCCCACCGGAAGAGAATGGCCGACCAATCCCCGAAGGGGCGCAAAAAATAGGTCCAAGTGCTCGGGATCTTATGAGACTCTATTTTCCCGAGTTTTCCCTGCCTACTTTCGAGGCGATCGTCCTCCTCAAAAAGCTTCCATTCAATTCGGCGCGATCGTTGGCCCAAAAATCCACACAGCGGCGTGAAAGGCCGAATTTTTCCGAAATACGTCCCGACGATATCCCGCCATTCGGAATCGACGCAGCCCGAGGGAAAATAAAAATAATGACGCTCCAGCTGAATATGCAAATCCGCAAGCATTTTCCAGTCGAGGTACAATTGAAGCCCGCTGCCGAGTTCGACCGGCCCGATTAGACCCGCCGATATTTAAATTAAAAAAAAAAGAAGAAGAGAAATTTCCCTCGTGGAAAATACCAGAAATTTCTCGTATTTACCACGAGTCCAATAAATACTGAAAGTTGGCAAAAAATACTAAATGATAAATATTAAATATTAAGGGGATGTGAAAGTGGCATCCGAAAGCTCAATCGTTCATAAAACTAATTTACGAACTGAGTGTCTCAAATCGTTTCATACTTTAAAACGTGAATATGCAGACCCTAAGGTAGGTCCTGAAACTCGCGAAACTTCATTTTTTATAAACTATTTTTAAGATACCTATAAAGAAATTAGAAAAGAATTGAAATTTCATGAGTTTCAGGACCTCCCTTATAGGCTCCCTATTCACGTTGCAAAGTTTCAAACTATTCGGCAAACCGAGTTGGGAGAAAAGTTTAATAAACAAAACCTCTTCGTAGCCACTTTCACATCACCTTAAAGGCGTCAAAGAGCGCCGTTAAACGCGCCGAACGAGCATACACGACCTCCCCACATTTCCTTCTCAGTAAAATCGCGAAAGGGGCTGATCGAACATCAGACGGCGCCGTGGTCCACGGGAGATCAAAGCCAGCCTCCCGGGGACTGCCTTTTCCCGGGAAGGCCCGTCCCGGCGGAGCTCCCCTCCAGGAGGAAGATTACGTTTCGGCCCCGCGAAAAGGCGAGCAAGAAGAGGAGGAGACACGTAGGAAAGGCGATCGTCGAGATTCCGAGACGTCGCCTTGATCGCGAGATCAAAGCGGGTCTTCCCGGCGACTTCATTTCCCAGGAGATGACGAGGTCGCGCGATCGGTACTCTCTCTCTCGAATCGAAATTGGTACTTTGCATGGGACCCAAGAAAAGGAGACAGGAGATCGAGAGGAGCCATAAAGAGAAATAAAGGGGCACGAAGAGGAGGAAGGACTCTCGGCAGGACACGTCGCCGAAGAGTCCTTTGACGCGGTCCATCCCGCCGATCTATACACACGTACATATAAAAGGATCCAAAGGCCTGGTTATTAAAATTGCCCAGAGGGATCTCCGCACAAGAGAGAGCCTCCATTCTTCCGTTACTCCGAAATGTCGGCCCGGAGATAGGCATATCTCTTGGGCGCGAGATTGGAATCCTCATAAAACCGTGCTGAATTTAATTTCTTCTAATGAAAGAAGGGTAACATCTCGAGATACCTCAAAGAAATCTCTTAGATAATTCCCAGGATGTCTCTAAGGATATATAATCGCGAACCCTCCCAGAAACATCCGTATGGCGTTCGCCAAATATCCCGATGAGGAGTGAGATCACCCTTGACAATAAATCTCGTAAAAAGAAAATAAAAAGTGGAGGACAAAATGGCACACGTGGGTAGGTTCGCAAGCCCCTCGGCAAACAAGTGGCCCGTGCAATATCGGGCTCCTTCGTGGAATGAATAAATGTAAGGCAATAGCCGGTACCGAGACAGAGCCTTGATCGCGAGATCAAAGGGGGCTCATCCTCCGGGAACATCGTTCCTCATTCGTGGGGCTCGTATTTTGCCAGGTCGCGTCTCTGTGTGCGACCACGTGTACACATCCCGCCTCGTCTATCTCGTCTATCTCCTCTATTTCGCCATTTCCGCCCATCCTCCGGCCGGTGGACCCGATCACCGTATCCCCGACTCGCCGACGAGCGAAGACCAACTACCTCCAGTTTTTCCCCAAAAAGGGAAAAAGACCAAAAACAAAAGAAACCCACATAAATGGCGCGAGCAAGAAAGGCCCCGTCGAGCCGTCGAGTTTTCACGCAAAAACCGCGGACGGATTTTTAATTAATTCGTCCGCAGGATTTTGTAAACCAGGAGGATTTTAGACGACGCTTAATTGGAGCGCTCTAGCGCGTCCCTATTAACCCGGGCGAGGGGGTGTCCCGGTTGAATCGGATGCCCCTCGAGGGGAAGAGCCCCAGGTGAGAACGCGCCGACCGTAGAGGGAGAAAAGAAAAAAACTCGCTCTAAGCGAGCGAGCCCCGAAGATTAATTTTAATTAATTATCCGACTCACCGGGGCCTCTTTAAACCGCGGTTGCCCTAATTGAGGTTTACCCTCCACCCGGAAGCCTCGATGAGGAAATCGGGCCGATCGGCGAGGTAGCAACCTCGAGTGTTCCACGCTAATTGGTCTGCATAATTTTCAGGCACTCTCAGGTGCGTCTAAGGGGTGCATCGCGCACCTGGATGGCGATATTTATACAGAGATGAGCTCGGAGGCTGGTAACGGTCCAGGTGGGAGAGGTCTACATTCCTGACCAGGGTCCCTCTCCGCTGGTTTGGTCCAGAGACCGGGATTAGGAATTATGCATCTCGTTTCTCTCACGCCGTTAGGGGGCTGTTGCTATCCTCTAAGGTGTCCCCGTGGGTTCCAGGTAGCAGGTGTAGTGGATGTAGGTAGGTGTAGCAGGTGTAGTAGGTGTACAGGATAGGTGCATCTTGTTCATCTCCTGCACCTCCTTCATCGTGTATCTTATATATATTTTGTGTATCTTGTTAATCTCATGTACCTCTGCCCTGTACATCCCGATATACTTTTTGATTAATAATCACCGAACTGCCCTATAATTAATAAATACCGTTCAGGTCACAGGAAGACGCTAGGCCGAAGTATAGAGAAAGAGTGAGGAGCAAAAATTCGATCCGATGAAATCAGAGGAATATTAGAAAGATAGGGAATCCCGATTTTTCAATCCCTCGCGTGTAACGAGGTTGAATCATAGATTTCCGTCGTTTTAATTAATCCTGAGTGGTCCTTCAATCCCGCGGGAGTCGATCATGCAACTCTCGTTACGTGGAATTTTCAATGGATAATCTACGTAATGAAGACGTCAGATAATTGCATCGGTAGACCGTTAACGATTATTCCATCCGAGTGTTGGTTTGCGATTAAAAATTACTTGGGATTTAAACGCTTTCCCTTGACATACGCCATCGATCCCGGATGACTTCCGGTAGGTGTAAACACAGGAAAAGTCGATAAACCGTGAAGCGATTCCGTAGCTTATCATCGATTGCAGGGCGCATACCTCCTGTCTGTAGAACACGGTTGCGGAATGATCTCAACGTGTAACCCATTTAACGGGCTTGCATAACTTTTGCGAAATATCCTACTTGCGCTTTACGACCGCCTCTTGATATGGAGATCTCCTCGGATGATAAAAACTTGACTGCAAATTCCGATCCTATCCGAGTAAATTATAGGCAGGCGTTTTGTCAGTACGATCTTCACATGCAGGACCGGCTCAATTATTTATGACCATTATATTGAGCACATAAACGAGAGAGGAATAACTGAGCGACGATCATCTTCTACCTATGCAGTGTGCAGTGCGATAAGCCATTTCCAATTTACTTCGCTGAAAATATTCGATACTCTACGTAGACACTCCGTGTAATCAAATCTGAAAAATTTCAGTTAATATCCATTGACGTAACCTTTTAACTACTCGATTGACAACCATCCTTTATCAGAGTTGCAAACAAAGGAGACGTACACGACGAATATAAAAGTGAAGTGATGAAGAATTTAAACAATCCACAGCTGGTATGCAGAGAGAACAGCAACGCACAACACACTTTATGTCACACGTGTTGAACGAATGAATGTCATTTAACCTCACTTTTGCCTCTAGCGAATCTTTCATAACCTCCAAAATTACAACCCCTTAACTCAACTATTTTACATGTAGTAGTTCGATGGATTGGACGCTTCGCTATCTAAGTACAGAGTATTTCCATCTAATAAAAAAGCCTAACGCTTGCAATACGGAAAAGCTTGATACAAATCGATCAAAAGAGTACGATATAAATACACCAATTTGAACGCAATACGTCAATACAGATACTTAATTTAAAAACAACATATATCATAAATCAATGTCGAATTAGTATCATAAGTATCGATATGCTAAATCCATTAACAAACAATAATACCATAACCTATCCAGATGAGACGTCTACTTATTGAGTTAGAAATCTCTGCAATTACCCAGCTATTACTTCTCGATACTTGTGCACTTGAGTCGAGTCCATCGTGAGGCATTTCCACCCTTGGGTTAACAAACCCATTGAACTTTTGAAGTCGCAGGAAGTAAATAAGACACCGCGCCGATGAATAAATAAATGCTGAAACGTTCGACGGTTTCCAAGTAGCGCAGTACGAGCATGGAATTATTAATCAAAGAAGTGTACTAACCGTTGGCGAGGGCGATGCCGCACAGGATGCAAGCAGCAGCGAGGATGCCTCGAGAAGTCCCCAAAGCCATCCTAGGATCGTTGCAAGCCGCAATCCCCGCACATTTCGGTCTGAGGATGTCCCGAAGCGAGAGGACGGCGCGTCGGCGGCCGCCCGTTCGCTGAGCCGAGCGCGTCCGCGCGATCACTCGACCGGGCGCGTCTTCCCTCGGCGGTCCGGCATCAAAACAAACGCTCGGTCGTCGTACACAACTCGAGGGTTCCACTCGACCCACGCCCGATCACTCGCGAACGCTTGCGTCCACCGGAGGAGCCGAGCGAATCCGAACAACAGCGCGCGATGCCATCCTCGAACCTACTAACTACGAGAGAAGCGCCGGCCCGGCGATCCGGCGCAGCCGCCGCCATCTTGAAAAATTTTTCCGACTCCCGCCACGCGTGCGCGGTTGACGCTACCTAGCAATGGCGGCCGCTGCCGCCCGTTCTTTATTTTCGATAGTTTTCAACTGTTTTCAACGATTTTTAACAGTACCACTGGCCGCGGACACCGCTTTAATAAAGTGTTGTCTGTTCGGTTTGCATCAGATACAGTAATTCCAGAATTTATACCGAGAAAGTGTCATCCATAACTGAAGAAAAGTGCCGAACGTAAAACGCAAAAGGCGCGCGAAGTTTTAACTTCCCGTTAACGCGTCGACACCTCGTCGGGTAAATCTTTTATTTTCCTTGATTTTCATGTACAATGTTGCGGTTCAATTACATTGATATATATATGCGTATATTCATCGTACATACGTATATATGTACAAGTCCTATCACGATACGTAAGTCACGGGAATTCTCGCAATAAAAAGATGGTGCACAAATACAGACTTATCATTTCCTCGTACAGCTCCGTACATATGACGTATGGACTTGTAAGTTCTCATATTTTAAAGGCGCGTATAAAGGTCGACGTATAAATAAGAATTGTGTACAAACTTACGATTAATTGTACCGATTAGATATTTAGAATGGACAAGAAGAAATACTGCAGTGTACGTATAGTCATTCGTAGGATTTTAAGTACGTGTACGATGTTCATCATTTTTATGAGTAACCCTACCAACGTGTATTTAAAACTGTGTCTTCGTCACATGTAACCATAACGTTGGCGTTACCATTGGATTTATGTCATGTCGTATCCACACACCCATTGCTTACTATTAACGTGACTTATATTTCTTACATGTACGAAGATACCTAATCAGTCTGTCTGTATCGCGAAATTTAATTGTAAATAAAAGTTCCTTCTTTCTTATGGGCGAACCGATTTGAGTTTGGCAACGGTATTACACATTTAGACTCTACGATAGGGATGTTCCTTTAAGGCAACATCTATGGTTCTCTATAATTAGGCATTATTCTACAGGATCATAGTTAGTAGTTAAAGTAAAAGGAATTAAATTTAAAAACATCAAAGTTTATCGGTGAAGTACCTTTGAACCGTTTCACTCGTGTTTGCGTATTTGTAGAATTTAAATAGAAGTGTGTGTACGATGCTTGAGAAATGTGGGATTCTATTTAGATTAGATATTCGGTACTATTTAGCACTATCACACTAATAGGAACATCCCAGTCTAAAGGAAGTAAGTCACGTACAACATATAAATACATTAATCTCCGGGTCCTATTAGCTATTGCAGATAAATGCAACTTAATGAGAGCTGATAAGTCTCATATCGCTGGAATTCTTTCAAACATTAATCTATTTTGTTTATAACTGGGTGTAACACTTGTGCATGAACGATACATACAATGTTTTATACATGGTTTATGTAGTGTGAAAGGTTTTAAACAAAGTTTAAAAGACGATCATTAAAATCTTTCGTCACCCGACAAAACCATGGTTCGGTAAGTAAATTAAGAAAATAATATAAAACAACGATAACAAAAACATGTCATTCTTTATTATCCAAAGCTGTAGCAGCATTGCAGTTATTATTCCTTAATCTACAAAATGTGGTTATTAAAATTTACTCAAAAGGTAGTAAAATAGGTAATGTATCCTTATTAATAATACGTTCTTTTCCATCTTCAAATCCTACACTTCATCCTTCGTCATCAAATTAATCTTTGTCTGTGCTACAGAATATTAAACTGAAATAAAATAATGGATTATACAGTTGACTGACACTGTGCAACGGTTCTATGCATCAATGGTAACAAAATTAAAAGCATATACTTAAAAAAGATTAAGTGGTATAATGCTTATAATGGCTACTTCAGCTATTACTGAAATTTGGCTAAATTCAATGGTTCGTCAACTGAGAAAATCTCGACTTTTGTACAATTACATTTTTTTTACAGGTGTAAAAACTGGTATACGGGTACGTTTTGCTTCCCAGGGAGTAAATCATAATCAGTAATAATATATTAATTTATGGTCTAATTCTAGTGATATGCAACGGCTGAAAGTATATCCCTATTTACTTCGCAGTTCGAAACACCCTTTTTGGAGAAAAAAATAATTACTTTCTCATACGAGAACTCGTTCCTCGCGGGTGTAATAATTAATAATATTAATGTCAATAAATATTCTTTGGTATTAGCGAAAGTGGAGGATAATACATCGTAACCGCAACAAATCGTCTACAGATTAGTATTACCACTATCCTAATTACTTTCGCGTGCTGCAAGGATTCTCTAAGGGATGATTCTAAATAGAAAAAAAATTATTTCTTTGATAATGCTTGACAATCTTCGGTTCTGCCTTTGAAAAAAAATCTTTGCAAACGTTACGCTGATAATTATCGCCTATACTGTTTATAATATGAGTCCAAGTATATATTTGGAGTTGCGTACATAAATATGTTTAAAAGAAAAATAGATACATAAACTAAATATTGTGTATACTCGCTGTAACGCTGTATTGTTAGTCCGTATAGTAGGTAAAGAGGAAACATAAAAGCTGCCGTGTCAATTTTGCAAGTAAACTAGGTTCGCTACAAAATTGCCAGTACGGAGTCTTAATTCTTTTTCTCGGAAAAAGATAAGATATAACATTAGGCGTTCAACAAATAATAAATGTCATTTATGGATATAAATATATTAAATACTGTCAGTTCAGCGAAAGGAGGCCAGAATAAATAGTCAGTTATTGTTATCATTCTTCGCATAGCTTGCCCTTATGCTAAAACGTTGGATGAACTGTCAATCCAACGATATATCTCCCACGGGTTAAATGTCGTTTGCAAGAATCCCTCTTAAATGACAAAAAATCATTTAAAGCATCAAGATCATCGGTGACTTGTAAATTAGTCGACAAAAACCCATCCACCATTGTAGAGCTCGACGGGGTTCCCTTCTACCGTGGCAATGGACGGTATATCGAAACGTAAAAAAGTGACCAACCATGCTATCTAGTTCTACGTTTATAAAAAACCTGATTTTTCGTATAAACAATAGTTGTATACACCGCGCGGTCAAGGAGTAAATTTCAAAATCTATAAATGCATCTGGAATGGTATATATATGAGAGTTTCGATATTCAGAAAATGCAATATGTAAAAACGGTTCTGGAATGAGCTCGATGCTGAACTTATATCTGGTTCATCATTTTACCATAAATATATAAATATATGCCACTTTCACTGCATATAAGCTCAGTCATTCTTGGCTTTTTTCATCGATTCCTTGTTTAAAATGTTCAGTTAGCTTCGATATTACCTTTGTAATGAATCTAATTTGAACATTTTAAACGGACGTATTTATAAACGATAAAACTGTTGATTACGGTCACTCCGTCTCTCTGTACGAGAGCACTCCGAGTGATTTCACAAACATGTATTATATCTCATCATCCGACACCTTCGATCTTAAGAGATGTCGAGCTACTTATACTACGGTACAGTACGATAACTTAACCGAACGAGATTGTTGCAGAATTGTCAATAAAATATTTCCTTAGTGTTACATTAAATAAATGTAAATCAGAAGTACAAAAAAAGAATGCTACCGTTTGCCATATGGAACGGGTTACCTTCTGAGAGCACTGAAAAATCTTGATTCTCTGGCTCTGTCAACGTCTCGACATTTTCACTGCAACAATCTCATTCTCATAGGATCATTCGTCCCACAATAGTGTACACCGCAAAGTATACATTTCCCAGGCGCACGTCAAAGCACGAGTTGCGTGCAAAAACATTTTCTACAAATAGGTAAATGTAAATACTGTTGAAACACGACGAAATCCGACGCATTCTAAATGCGTCAGTGCTTGGATCGAACACCATCAGAGATCCAACTAATATCGTCTTCGTGAAGAAGCCTTTATATCGAACACTTGATAACATCGCGTCACGAGAGCATCTTGTTAATACAGGTTCTCAACTGTCGGAGAGTATTATCAAAACGAGGCAACATCGAAAGAGCCTGCACAGCTCTCAAATAACTTGGTGTCTTGGTTCCGATCTATCCAGAAAATTCCCTTCCCACAACTAATCTCAAATTCCGCCCAAAATTTCCAGTACCAGGTTGTCAGCCCAAATTTGTACGCAGTATTCCCATTAAATTCAAAGTCCTGCCCTCCCGGCAGCGCTCAACAGCTCGTGTATATAAATAAACGACGAAATCGCATGAGATTTTAAATATTAGCCCTGAAGATGTTCTATATTCTTGGCTTGTAGGTTAGTGTCACGTGGAAGGTCTGCACGTCCATGTCGGCGGCGCGTAGGGCGTTATCCTGCGCGACTAAGTCGTCATTCTGTACGGCGACGCACTCTTTGCTCTCTCTTTGGCTCGGTTCCTCCTCAGTATTTTTCAAAATGATCTCCGCAGGCTGCTGGTCCACGGAAACTCTGACAGTCTTGACTTTGACGGTCTCCAACGACCGGGATTTCGACGTCTCCGAGGAGCGGCCTTTAGCCCCGTTTTCTTTGTTCCTGCGCGAAGAGCTGCGATGAAGACGCGATTTCTCTCTCGAAGATGTTCTACGAAGACTCGGTCGTTTCACGGATTCCGCGCTGGCGCTCAATCCTGACGCTGAGCACAACAGGACTACGTATAGAAATTCGCATGAGTCAGAAAAGAGGATGGGTTAGCTACGATGAGGTCTACGTTAAGGGGACACAGAGAGCCACAGGTGTGAAACTTCACCGAAGACAAGTGAGTGCAACGAAGTGCTTTTCTTATCGAGTCATAAGGACTTTCAGATAATATGGAGTCGCAATTTTTTTTGGGGAGTGGACAGTACACTTACCGATGTTATCGGTGGATGACATGTTGGACCCTCGGAGTATGTGCATGGCTGTCGGATCGCTGTCGGTTGCTGTCAATCTTTCCCCTACCGGTGTCAAGAACCATTCCGATCTAGTTCGCATTCTCGCAGTCTGTCTTTCGTGTACCTGAATGAAAATGCAGATATTAATCGGGTGTCATAGGTATGGGTACGATGATCTTACTGATATGGTAACGACTAGTGGATTTAATGTCTTTCGTTATAAGCTTGAGAAGAAGCAAGTACTGGCAGCATTCTACGGTACCTGTGCCGAACACTATATAATGCTTGTAAAAAATGTGCAGAATCCCCAGAAAGAGGGGAAGTGTACGTTTACAAAGCTGTACATTTGTTCGTCTCGATTACATACGTACCGTAGAATTATTCGAATTAAAGAGAAAGCTTTCTTTGTGCATTGTGTGCATAATGTAAAGGCTGATCTATCAAAATGAATTCCGAGGAAATTATAAGTAGCCAAAAAGTTGTACCTACAAGGGTCGGGCTTGAATGTTTCTTAACAGCGAACTCATCACTTTCCTAATGAAAAATAAATGGTATAAATCGTAGTCACCCTAGCGTGAGAAATTGGCTGAATTGTAACGATTAAATCTTACAAATTGATAACATTTAACCGTAATATCCGTAATAACATAGTATTAACATGCACATACTAATATCGGAGATGTAACATCGTACATCTTCGGACTCCTTAAACTTCAATTTCGGGGAACAATCGATTTACAACGTACATCAAAATTCATTTCACTGGCCTACGAAGTGTAATGATGATGATAATTAATGCGTGCAACATGCAAAAGCAGACTGTGTCAAGTAGACGTTAAAAGGAGCAAGTGTATCATACAAGTACAAAAACCTTTATTGTACCAAAAACAACTAGCGTCCTAATTAACTTAGATAATTCTTTTATTAACACGCGCGCAGTCTTAAATACTTCCGTACATCGTTTTTTTTAATTGTACATGTATTCCAGTTAATAATTCCTACATGTAATACTAGATCGCGATTCCTGTGGTACGTTACATTCATGCAAGGACGTCTCAAAAATCATTTGACAATTAATAAATATTACCGTCTATATGTACAAATGAAACATCGACGTTTATTCTATCTAAAGTCAACGTTAAACACACATACACCGTAATACTCTCGACATGATCCATCCTTTCACATATAATGGTATACTTCTCGTAGATAAGGTCAGTAACCCTTGCAAGTAACAAAATCCAAACAACTTATTTAAAAAAGAACCAACGCATTCCGCCTCTCTTAATTTAAGCGCAACTAAAACACATACAAAACACGCGAGAGCCAAGAAGTAGATGCCAGTAGGTGAGAGAAGTGCTACGTCAAATGACAAACTAAAGAAACCTAGAGGTAATTCCTTTGATGCAAAGTAATCAAAGGACCGTCAAAAATCTCTCAGAAATTTACTTCGATGTATATCTTTTAATGACAAGTCTCCGTCAACTGAGCATAATTAATAATTGGACTATTTCAATTCATCACTGGATTATGCATCGTTCAACATCCAACGTCTACTTCTCGATCAGAGGATACAGGCATTTAACTTAAATAGAAATCATGATTTGTACACGTGAGAAGAAGCACTTCGATAATTTAGTGACGATACTCAAATGGTAATACGTATAATAACTACGGAAGGATAAAATAATATTTCACAAACGTGTCGATACAAAATTACAAAAAAGAGAAAAGTCAGTTATCACCTAATAAGTTAAATTACAGAACACCGAATCGATAATTAACAGTCTTGTTGCTATTGTACAGTTATACAACGTCATGAGCACTGCACTCGATACTTTCCAACATTCTTGCCAATTTACATTCGTATCATGTAAAGCTTACTGTTATCAATCGTCATTAGGATAGATGATTGCTCTAGGAAGCTAATGGCAGTGATAACAAAGATAGTAGTTTAAATAGTTAAAGAAAAACAAAAAAAAATAAACATGCAGCTGAACACAGTAGAAACGCATTTGTACCTTTTGAGAAAACCATTTTTTTTTTCTTACATAGAGCCAACCCCCACTGACACGTAGGCAAGAAATATGATTGATGAGATAATATTTAAGTTCTTCGAAGATACGTTTCGAAAATGAAAATCCTTGCAAAATTAAATGCACGTTGTGATAGTGTACGTTACAAAATCAAATACCTTCTCTTCTTAACTGTACAAAATAATTATTTATATAAATACTTCTGTACGAACATCCAATGCGGTCGAATAAAAAATAAAAAAAGAGGTAAATCAAAAGTACACGCATTTCAATATCTTCGCACGAAATGCTTACTTTTAAGTCGATTAATTGCAGTGCAATTTTGTAATTTCCTTGCAAGCGACAATGGGGGTTGCCAAAGTTAATGCGTGTGTGTGTTTCTTTTTCCTATGAATTAATATCGTGCGTTTTAATGCTATTATAATTTTTATGTATACACTCAATACATGCGAGTTGAACGATCAAGGATCACAATCTCGAGACAGTCTGATACCACGATACTAACTTAGAATTAAAAAAAAAAATTCTCTACTATAAGATCTCTATCCTTCATCGTGCAAATATACGAATAGAAGATCGAAATTATCCATCGAGCCGAGCATCGGCTTGACGAATAACCACTACGTTCTATTTCTTAATATTATTAATTTTTTTTTGTTTTGTTAAAACTGACGTTATAGACTCTATGCTTCACCTATTCCTACCTGTGGCAAATAGCTTAGGCTCTTCGTACTTTCGGCATACCGATTTACTGCTCTAAGCTCGTCCAATGTCATGCCAGCATGCCGAGAATGATGGCTGCCGTTACTAGATGACCTACTAGACGCCTGTCAAACAAATCGATATTTCAATTATTAATATTGTAATTGTACATCTTGCAAATATATTATAATATTAACACAATTTCCTAATCACTTGATGTACACTTTGAACATGCTAAAATCTTCCGTAAGACATCTAACGTCAGATTGTGCCATTGAGGCTTCATGCTACGATAATTGATATATTTTTCCTATTCTTTTAAACTGAACGAATTAATCTGTGCAATTTTACCTGGAAAAATCCGTTCTGCTCTAAGCTAACCGAAAGCCTGGTATAACTTTCGAGTAAGGTATTCTCAGGAATCATTCCTAAGGACGAAGTAAGCTCGAAAGATTCCGGCACATGAATAAGTGCTGGCGTCGACTGCGACTCTTCTTGGTATGACACAGCTGAAATTAAGCGACGTATGATTAATGAAGATTATCAAGAATAAAAAAATCATTTGCATTAATATGAGCGACATACTTACATTCTAAATTGAATTTAAGTCCCAATCTCTCGCACTCGTACTGCAGCCAAGTCTTTTCCGTCTCTAAAGATAATTGTCCTGGAAAAGTAAAAAGTACACCTCTAAACTGATGCGAAAGCTCCTTATGTTGAACCTTCTTAATGATATAAAAGTTAACTTCAAAAAACGAGTGACGTCTCTCTGCATATGTACTTAATTCCTATAAATGACGGTCACCTTTGTTATACTCACTCGATACAAGGTTATCACGTGGGTACCGAAAACTGAAGATCCAGTCGTTTTCGACTTTGAGTATCGTTCCAGTGATTCGTGCATAAAACTCATAGTTTTCTCTTCCGAACAAGTTTGACACGCCGAAATTATCGATCATGAATTTCATCACTCGCGTTGCAACCTGACGGAATCCCAAGAAAAACATGTTTATTAAAAGGAACGTCTAAAGCATATCGAAGAGATCAACGTTATATCATAATTACACCGAATGCATATTTTTCACAACTTTCGTTAAAATTGTACAGTTAAATCAAATGTCTCCTTTTGTCTACACATCCGATCAGTCACCAGTAGATGCACTTACTTTGGAATACTTTTCTTTTTTTTTACAGTAACGTGACATGAAAAGCAAAAATGGGTACATTAGCAAAATTATACCAAAAAAAAAAAAGGAAAAACGCAGACAGTATTTACAGAACGATGCATGTCATTCAAATGAACTTCTCTAAAGCTTAATCTCAGAAAATTATATAAATAATGGCATGCTAGTATCGGTATACATTTTTTGACGAGCCAATGGTAGTCTTTTAGAGTATACGCTAGATTTTTATCTAACATATTTCAAAATGCACATCAAGACCTACATTAACTTAACCGCAGTCTCCTTTAATACAATGTTACTGTACAATATATGCATCTGTCTATAACGAAAATAAAAAGTAATGGTAATATCTGGAACAGGTGACATGACAAACGCGTTACTGAAAGTCAAAATAACAATCGACGTTATGTTTCGCTCTCGAGGAGAATGCCAATTTCAACAATGAAGTCATCGAAACGTTAGTAAATCTTGCGGGCACGAGGAAACAAGACATACAACACTATTGTTAACACTGTAAACTTACTGAGACCTCCGCCTGGCGAGGATTGTAAGCAAACATAAAATGTGACAACAGGTGATCAACCGGTAAATTAGTGCAGCATGTGACGAGAAATAGCTCTCATGCTTAAATTTGAGACTCGTAGCAGTAGATTAGCCTCTCGTTAATATAACATATTTTATCAATATTAAGTCATCTAACTCCTTATTAAATTCGTGCACTTCTTAAAATGAGTTCACTCTTATAGTTTCTGTCGATTGCACTCACATCGTTGCAAGTGCAATCGACACAAACACCATAAATAAGGTATCATCAAGAAAACTATTCTCAGAGATTAAGCATATTTCATTACCGAAAAGAAAACTAGAATACCTATTAAATTATCGATTCGTCTTTCATCGATACCCTGCAAGTGTTCGAATTTACAGTGAATCGCATGAGTGCATTACAGCGAACACGGTCAAGTGGTAATTAAGTAATAATTCCTACCTTAAACCTGAGTACATCTTCCATCTTTGCTGTCTTTCCGTCGCTCACGCAACTCTGGAAGAACGAAGGCGCTACCGATACTCCTAGAGCTTCGCTGGACATACCTGTTCTCGCTCTCTCACTGTTCACAGCTACTACCCTGAACGTTCCGAATAGAAGTACCAGCAGACGTTGTGTGTACAGTGGCAAACTTGTGATTAACCTGAGTAACATAAGAAACGTCATAATTTTCCCACTGAACTGAATATTAATATAAAATAATGCATATTAGCGCGTTATACAACGTAGGTACAAGAGTAATCAAATATTCAACTAACGTATGAAGATCTTTTTCAAGTAATTGTTCTTTACAGCACATTAAAAGTAACGTAAGAATCTTACATAATCATAATAGTGTAGTATGTACGGCAATAATACGAGTCAGGTTTAGGAAACATGACACTAGTGTCACATCATAGAGGAACGTAACATTGTAGTCCGATAGCTTTAAACAGTCTGGAATGAAGTGTGCTCAGATTAAATTCGACATGAGAACATTCCTTGCATCGATCGATAGGCTCGGTGAAATTGCTTGTTACTCTTATTTCAGTCGAAAGATATGCAAGAGCATTACTTCGTTCTTATTGCATGAACGGAATAGCTATTGCCTAATGCATTATGCACAGAGCTCATTTATCAAGTACATTCCATTGGACTGAAGTTACAGATGAAACATATGATTCATGAATTACATGTTAATATTACTAAATACTTCCTACATACATTAATGTGCGGTACTGAATCTCATTTAGTTTTACAATTTCAATAATTATCACAGGAATACATTAGCAAACGAAGGTCACAGTGGAATGGATAAACCAACAACTGTTGCAGCTGTCCCCCTATCACCAGCTTATCAATAATTGATAATGTAGTTTACCATTTTAGAGAGCCATGCAGCAGTGAATAGAAATTCGTAGAAAGGAAAGCGACTAAAACTTACTTATGAATTTGGTCCCTTTGTTGTTCTATGCTTTCCAGCTGAATGACGGTGAACAATTCCTGCTCTCCTTCTCTTCCGAAGATTCCGCCTGGAATTTTTCTCAGGAACTTTTTAAGGACACTGGCGATCGTATATACGCTAAAGTTGTCCATATTTACTAAACGTCCAGTCTGGAGGAAATGGATGAGTTTCTTCATATTCCCTTGATGGCCTGGAGCCCGAAAAACGTCTTTTCGGAACGGAGCTTCTTTATTAAGTTTGAGAATCAGAACCTGTAAAATAAACGACAATGGACACATTCTTAATTGTTGACAGTCTATATACCTTTTTTAATATAAATATTGCAAGAGGATAATAATTACCAATAAGGGGGCCGGTATATCATTTTTACATACTTCGTCTAATGGCACGCCAAATTTTACTCTGAAAATAAGGAACAATATGTAATCGTTAGAAATGACCGGTAATTTTAAACATAACCTGGGTATTATATAATTATAACTCCATTTATCATAAAATGAAGTTAAAATGCACGCTGAAAATGGCTTTAACCTTTCATTTATAATACATAATCGAAATACAAATACTTCAAGTACGAGTCTTTTATCCACTACTTTACATTAAGTGGTCTAATATCAGTGTAATTGAGTATGTGCTCTATACTGGACATGCTTCTACATAACAGCAGCTGATAAAAAAGACCTACAATAAACGCCCACCTTTCAAATACTATCGAGTTTACATAGAAGGGAATTATGAAAAGAAATTAAAATTTTACTGACTCTCGTGCTCTTGTTGAGGATTAAAAAAATACTAAGTGTCAATTGACACATTAATACTAACTTTTCAAGTCTCCTAGGGTATGGTGGTACAGAGGAGGGGTGACCACAGCTCGTCACCACGTTGCCAAAGGTAGCAGCCCGACGGTGCATCCTTTCAGTCCAGCTGCTCATTATACGAGTTGGGTGTACGAGCCACCCAGTCCTCAATGGTAGATAATTATTCTTGACACTTAGTGCACCATTCGTGACGAAAAGAGCTGCAAAGCTCTACTCCGTGCCAGCTTTTATCGGATGCAACTGGACTGAAGGAATTAACAACGGATGCCCTCCTCTTGAATCAATAGATGATCAAGCCACACCATCATCTATAAGAATCTGAACTAAGAAGGGACAAAATTTGATCGCGAAGACTAAAAAATAATAAGCGTCCTGCTCTCGACAATTTAATTAGTGGACATTAATTTTACGAATGAGCATACCATTTACAATAATCAGAGCTCGGAGGTCCTATTCCATTTGAATGTTGACTAGCCTTCAGTAATTATGACTGTCCATGACATGACTGCGGCAAGGCAAACTCATGGCAAGTTCTCCCTTTCTCTTCGGTTGATGAGCAAGCAATGGTAAATAGCCGGACAAGTGCCCTGCAGGTGCAAAGCATTGGCAAATGGTCAGGTAATGCGGTTACCTAAGAAAATCAAAACTATCAATTAGCAAATGATCATAATGAATAAACAATGTTAAATAGCCTGTGGGAAATTGTTATACCATTCGTGAAGGACCGTGGGGTTTTATTTCATCCTGTCATCCGTAACACGACTGACTGACTGATCGAATCGTAGCGCAGGGATGACAAGTGCCCCCTCCTCTGTGATCGACAAACGAACCACGACGAATGATATAGCGACGCCGTTGCCTTCGAGAATCCGACGAAGTGACGGGCCAGGGAGCAACGAAGGCGGCCGAGCGAGCGACGCGAACATAACCTAGCCGTTCCGAAAGAGCTCAAAGCATTGCGCGTTTGCAAACCGTGGCTGCCCTTCACGTTCTCGAGGAGCAACGCCCGCGCTCGACGTGCTCCGGCATTTCCCTCCCACGTTTGGCACTACTCGCGTACTCTGTCATTAACGAGACGACGCATTTGAGCACAAATTAACCACACCTCTTCTTCCCTCTTCACTCGCTGCATCCTCGGAAATCAATATGGCCCCGGACACGGTTGCCACATCCACCATGTTGGTCGAACGAGCGACGACGCGATTGGCTACGTCTGACGTTTCCTGGCACACGATTGGTCGATTCCGTTGGAGCGCACAGAATCGACCAATCAAACGTTAAGCACAGCACGAAGTGCACGAAAGACCAATCAATGAAAAATGAATTGTTTCAGGTATGTTCGCTTTGATTTCACGTTTCTGTTCTTTTATTCACCGGCGAGTCAATGCCCCTGCACTTCTGCAAATAGGTTTTCATTATTCGCGCTCTGTTTTTGTAATTGCAACAGCGTTTATTGGAACAATAACGTTTCAATCGCTGCCTACGTCGATCGCCGGTTTCGAAGCGCTTGGATGGTTATCTAAAATAACGAATGAAATAATGGTCGACAATTAATCTATGATTATATGTCAAAATACGGTGTACTGTTAACGATAATATTTGCCATGTCGCAAATCGCAAAGGTCTTGTCGCCCGCTATGCACAAACAGTGTTTCGTTCCGAACTGTAATAACTCTACGACTAAAACGCCGAATAAAATTTTCATTAACGTACCACGGAATCAGGATGTGAGAAAACTTTGGTGCAATGCCGCAGGCTGTCCCATTGAGAGTTTAAGTTACATGGCTTTCTGCTGTCAAGATCACTTTAATGTAAGTAAAGTTATGTTAACTGAGCTTGCATCAAAGAATTAATAGAACGTTGCTAGCGTAGAAACGATGATACATTTAATTGATAACTTTCTTTGTGATTTCAGCTGGAACATGACGTCGAAAGCAATCCATATTCTCATAGTGGACGTAAGAAATTGAAGAAAGGCATAGTACCTCACATATTTGCATGCCAGGAACACATTGCTGTTACAAAGCAAGAAGAAAAGCCAATACATCTAACACAGAACGAGGTAGAGATTCCTGCCTCGGTGGTGATGGCAGAGTCAGAGCAGAACATTTCAGAAGTGTTATATTCATCCCAATTAGTAATTAATGCATCCAAAATAGTTCAAGAGATGCCTTCCATCGATGAGTTTAATGTTCCTAATTGTACCAAGGAAGAGACATGTAAAAATGCATCAGTAGATAAAGAGATTAATTTCATGGATGAAACTAATGGGATAAACAGAAAAAGAGACGCACGTTCTGTGAACGATGAGTCCTTTGATTTGAACACAAAGAAGTCATCCCTTAGTAATTCAAGCAATGCCTGTAAAGATAACGGTACTTTTCCTAAAAGAATAAAAAATAAGAATTACAAGCGTCAGCTGATAAACGAAATCAGGAGCAATGCTCTGTCGAACCTGGTCGATGCTTATGAAATTCTATCTGAACGCAGCAGTTCACTAGACAGTCTTTCAGAGCTTGAGAAAGCCACTGATAGTAGCGACGAAGATAATTTTAGACAAAAGTTGTCTGAATTGACTCCTCTAGAGCTGACTAAAATGGTAATTAAAGACGACCCATTGACTTTCATCGGGATACCCATATATTCGTTACATATCATTGACAGAATGCAAAGTAAGCTAAACATGCCTATAGAGAATATATATTTGATCTTGAAGAAACTACGACTTAATCCCTCTGACGAAATTTTGGTGGACGATTTTGGATATTCGGTACGTCAGGTGCACAAAACACTGATGAAAGGATTGCCTCGTCTAGTGAAACTGATTAGGAAGTTGATAGCATGGCCTACGGAAAAGAACATAATAAAAACACTACCATTACAGTTTCGTGTAAAGTTCGGTAATGTTCGGTACATCATAGACAGCTTTGAAATTGAAATAGAGAAGCCTGATAGTGAAGTGAATCAAGAATTGATGTGGTCCAAAAAAAGAGCTTGCTGTACCGCTAAGTATTTGATTGCCATGACACCTGATGGCCGAATCACTTATATATCCGAAGGCTTTGGGGGCTCGGCTACTAATACTTTCGTCCTTGAGAATTCCGGATTCCTGGACAAACTTCCAAGTGGTACTACAGTCATAGCTATGGATAATTTTGAAGGGGTGGAAGCACTCTTTAAGAAAAAGGAGTTCACGTTAATACAAACACCGATGTCAACAACTGATAGAGAACTTACCGACGAAGAGGTGTTACTCACGAAGCAGATAGCAAGCATTAGGATTTATGCTGATAATGTGATCAAACGTATTAGAGACTTTAGGCTCTTGGAGTCTCACGTTTACGTGGAAGACTATCTTGTTCCTTATTTAGATTATATTCTAGTTATAGTTGCAGCATTGGTTAATTTTCAAAGTGCGATTTTTCCATAAGCATTGAGTACGAGTTTTAGATGTAGGTACAATGAATGGCTTTGTGAAAACAATTGAATGGATATACATGTGTTAACTTTTGTGACATACTTTTTTTTATTTTTTATACCATGTTTAGTTAACAGTTATGCTCCAAAGTCATTTATTGTACATAAATCTGCTAAAATAAGCTGTACATTTTGGTATGGTAATTATTTCAATTACTTGTACTCGATAACTGTTGAAAATCAATTCATAGTTGCTCGATATAATTCACAGCCAATGATGTGTGTAAAACTAAAAAAAAAAAAAAAGCATGATGTCCTGGATGTGCGAAGGAATGGTAAATTCGTTAAAAAAAAAATGGACAATCCTTCAATTAAAATTCGTTACGCAATTTTCTAACTGTGTGTAACTTATGATATTACAGTCACAACATAATATTACAAAGATCTATTCTTACCCGTTAAACAATTAAAAAATAAATATTGTACAGTAAACATAGTGATCTATACAGTAGTTTTAGGTATTTTTCTGTTCGTTTAAGACTTGCATCATGGCGAAACAAAAACGTCTAAGTGATTTGATTATAAGTTAATACAATAAAATGTATTTATAAACAAAAGGATATCTTGTCTACTGGTATTAGATTGTTCGAGGGCTGCCTCTTCTTTTCTTTTCTTTGAATCATGATTTTTCAAGGATAGCAGAAATCTTAGACTCGCTTCTATTCCTAATGTTTTTTGTTGCGTCTCTTAGAGTTTTGACAGCTGGCCGTGCTTTTCGAAGCACTTGCATTCTGTCCGATGACTATTCGACCGGAAGCTATTTCCTCCCTATCGGCCGAATTTTCAATCGTCTTCTGTGCTTCCAAGAAGAACATGAGGTCGCGAATCTGTTCCCGCAGATCTGTCAATTCAGCCTCTTTTGTATCTTTATATTCCCCGATTTCCGTTTGTAGTTGTTTGTGCTTCGCTTGCCACGTGCTTTGGTTAAGCTGAAGAGCCGTTCTCAAGTCCTTCTCTTCAGAGAGATCCGACTGAGCTTGATTCAGCTTGGTGCTCGTGTGTTGCAGCTTCCTTTCTAGAGTCTGCTTCTCTTTGCTGAGAGTTGCTAATTGTTCCTGGAATTCACATGTAATTTACATATAATATAGGTCTAGTATCCATCTAATATTCATCTTTCTAAAGTATATTCTACCTTGAATTTGGTATTTTCCTCCACAATCTGGTCTAATTTGTCACGTAATTCAGCGGTCTCGGAGACAGTGCGTTGCTCCAGTCTATTGAGTCTTTCTTCAAAGTACTGCCTCTGCGTCTCCAATTGCGAAGTAAGTAGGTAAGTGAACTCCAGTTGTACGGAGTCAACTTTTTCATCGACAGCTGCTCCTTCGCTCTTAGTAGGCTCTCTTCCACCCTCTACCATTTTACCATCCTTGTCCTGAAGCAAACGGTGGACAAAATTGTCTCCAACGTAATCCCAGACTCGATTGTTGCCGAGCTGCATGGCGTAACAATGGTGAGTATCCTGATAGTGCTCGAAAGCATGGCCATGGTGATAACGAGAGCAACCGATGTGGCCACATATCAAGCAGATCCACAGAGCCTCGGTGCTGGTTCCGACAACTAAATTCCATACAGTTCACAGTGACAATTTGAATGGCTTTTAAAATATACAAAATACAATTATAGTTACGAAAAATGCAAATACAATTATACAAATGCTTACCACACTCCATGCAGTGGCTGTCGGCTAGTGGTTCTGGGGTCTGGGCATATCGACAGACAGGACAAGTCATGTCACCCCATTTACGAAGACAACTGGAGTGGAATGTGTGATTGCACAGAACAGTTAATATTCCATCTACACTTTCGTCCATTCTTTCTAAGCACACTGGACACGATGGTAGTTCTGTATGTCCTGCTAATGACATTCCATTGTCCGCAACTTCGACTCTCGAGACAAATACCAGATGACATACCACATCAGGTTCCAACGAGTTGTAAGGTACTCCGTTGAAGGTTTCGTAGAATTCACTGGCTGCCACCTGAGACAATATTGTTTATACATTGATTCTGTATTTAATTATTTATATCTATTGTTTTTAGATTTTTTTAGGGTGAGAAAATGAGATTTTAAAGGGTCTTACTTACTGCGGATCGAAACGTTATTAAAGACATATACTGATTGGGGCTGCTGTCTCTTAAGATTCGAAAATGTTTGATATCCTGATGGCAGGCTGCCGTAAATGTTAGCAGATCGTGACAAGTCATAGTGGCTGGAACCGACAATATGCAAATGGTGTGGCTGCGCTCGGCTGCTTGATGCATTTCTGTTAACTCACTGAGAAAGAATGAAACCAAGTAAATAAAATCCATTACACGTAAAGGAATATCTCGGGGACTAGAGAATAAATTAAAGAGACATACGTACTCTTCTTTAAACAAGTGCAAAATTCCTTTAGTGACCTCAACGAATGGGTTTCCAGAAAAGAAATTTATTTGATCCGGTGATGAGCATGCCATGGCACCGTCCGTTTCTGTCGGTGCCATAGCTGAGGTGGGAGTTTGAGGAGCGAACGACGATTCTTCCGAACTAGCTCGGGATGTAGAATGAGATTTACTGGATCCTTGGGAGGACAGTAAAAGAATTGGTCTCTCCGTCACGCTGGCATAGCTTTCTACCGTAATATCTCTTGGCTCTCTGCAACCTCTCATCTTTCTAGAGGCCATTGTGTCTAGCGAAAAGTAGAAAAAGTTAATTTAGTAGTCCAAAAGCAACACAACTCTTACAAACTTATAACACAATAACGATACTACATAATATTGCGCATCTAAACGAAATTGTATTATTATGTATAAATCGGGTCAATGAAAAAATGGAGCAAAAAAAGAGTACACAGATAACGGATGCATAACCTTAATAGTTTTTAATAATTTTCGAGAAAACTGCTGCTGTCATGGGACTTACCAGCGTTTTCTTTCGATTGTGGATCATCAATTTCGATACGAATTACGCATAGCGATACCGAAACGGCCGAAGAAGACATTATACATAACCAGGTCGATTCGACATTGTCGCAGATTTACCGTGAGCTTTTCGTCACCTGTCAAGTCACGATTTCGCCACATTGAAATTTTCCCATATGAACAGATCAGCTGACTGACATACGTGCGAGATGGTAAGGCACAAATGTTTACAAAACAATAATTACTATACTCCGTGGGTGGCTTTACATGAAACGATGTTAGTGATTATCTAGTGATAATCAATGTATTCGCTGGCGCCATCTTGACGCGAACTATGGTCACTATTTTTCAGCTAATCTGGAGTCGCAGTAAAATAAATTTAAATACAGCGCGACCGCCATTTTGGTTATAATTAAAAACCAGTTTCGGTCCTGTACCTATATTCAAAAACTAGGAAAATTCGGAAAAGGAAAAATTGATGTAAAGGAAATAACTTTTTTTTTATTTGTTATTTAAAATAATATATCATTCTGTAGTTCTCATTTTCAAGTAGAGTACCTCCATAAGTACATATATAACTTTGTCAATACTTCAACAGCACGAAAGCAACAACATTATTATGCCATCCGATGTGAGATAATTTACTACATGGCTAAATTTGTACGAGGTAGCGCGACGCGTCGTAAACGTGTTTGGCGATTAACGATAAATAAAGTATCTATTTTGTACTAGGCTTATTCGACGGGAGACAGGTACAATATCACGTTAACTTTCACCTGTGGTGGAGCTCGGTAGAAAGTAAAGGTTTCCCTAGATAGTTAAAATAAATAAACATTTATCTACTGGGAGGCACCATTATTGCTTAAGATCGACTGGGACAGAGTCCGGCAAAGTCACACCAAGTCTGGTTACTATGAAACCGGCTACTTCACAACCAAATTTCAGACAACACTTTGGAGTCCACCCAGCTAACATACCGGCTAGAAATCCAGCAACCAGAGCATCGCCAGCACCAGTTGTATCTACCACTGGAACTTTCAGCGTCTCTGGCTGAACCTGAAAGGAAAAATCAAATTAACAACCTAAAAAATACGTATAATAGTCAAGTAATTATTTGATATTTTTAATATTAAAGTACCTGAGTACACTGTCCCTGGCCCCATACAACGATCGCAGGAGCGGAACCACCTTGGGTCATAACAAAAACGCTATCGTTTGAATACCATTCTTTACGTGCCGCACTAGAAACACCAATTGTAACTCTCTTCAAGTTGTTTAATAAGAAGGGAATATCGGTTACATCGTCGTAATTAATGTTTAATGCTTGTGCAAGTGCAGTCATCTCTCGGGCATTACCGAAGACGATTCTGGCCAGTCCCACCATTTCACATATTGCTGCATGATGTTCCTTGTAAAATAAAATAGAATTTGTTATATAATCATAGGTAGAAATGTATTTTCTATTAAGAATATTTGAGTTACCTTAAATAAATATGCTCCGTTAAGATTAAACGCGATTGGAATACCCTTCGCCCGACCCAACTTTTCGAGTTCTCTGGCTACGTCCAGACTGTGGATCACAAAGAACCCTTCTATATAAATTAGTTTCACGCCATCAAGAGATAACTCTTCCCTTTTCAGATCTTCCATGGTGTAAACACCAGCTGCTCCAATATTTGCAACAAGACTACGTGTTGCACCTTGTATCAAGGAAACACAAACACCTGTAGGTAATTCTGGATGCACGGCATAACTAAAATGAGCAGCGATAAATACTTATATTTTACTCATAATATAATTACCGAGTCTTTCAGAATTTTCAAGCAAAAATGGTATACCGTGCATTTACTCCAGCCAGGCGAACTAAATTTTCTAATACTGATCCACGAAAATCCATTCCAAGACCGCCACAATAAATACCGATCGCAGGCCTGGTTGGTCCAGCGCATAACCACTGTAAGATCCTCATTGTATTTTGCACAGAACCGCCTGCACTCACGGTTTGTTTCAGTCTATTAAAACAACGTTAAGAATATCATGAAGACTATCATATTTAAATCTCAAGTAAAAATAGAATCGTTTACTGACTCTGGAGGGAGCTCCGATATGAGCTGCTGCACCGTCTCTTCGGGAAGTTCGAGTTCGTCGTCCTCTTTGAGATCGAATTTCTTAAACAGGTGATCATCCTCCACGGTAACAATGATGTCCAATAGTGGATTACCAAATGCCACGACAACTGGCGATTTAAATAAACGATAGGCTGATCTGACCATGCCCACCGACAACGTCGACAGCGTAGTGTTCTCCGACATAATTGAGATTACGCTTCGTTGGCGCCGTGAGACATACAGAATCGTGACTTAATAAATATCCCTGGAAAAAATATATAGTCAGTCAATTCTTACCATTCTTAACAATAATTATCAGACGTGAGAAAAACATTTCGCTTGGCAATTATCGAAGCGTCAAAATACTCACCTATTACCGGGTAATAGTCTTGCTTAAAATTATGTAATAACCGGAGCTGAAGAATACACTTATACCATGCTCCATCTCCGTTATATTCGGCTGTCGTTACCTTTAATAACCCACGACTTTCCCCCGCGAAAAAACGCACAAGGTCCTCGTGAATCACGGCTCATGATCGAGGCCGATTCGGGAAAGATTCGATTTCGCCAAGGCAGTGGACCGCAGGTTGATTTAGAAGTTAGCCGACGCGCCAAGGTTGGCGATCGATACCACGGTTGAGTTCGAAAATTCCTAGGCAGGTGGCTCTAGCTTCATCGTTCTTCTATGGTCGACGTTCGTTGAAAATAATACAGTTACTAGACTTTCAGTGTTCTTTGTCTTCGTCTTACATATACAAGCCTCGTGTATGCCGTCTTTGTCATAGTACTGTGCGATCGGAATAAAGGTCACGTGGGATCGAGCTTTTCATGTCCTGACAAGAAGGAAAAAAAGATGGCGACTGAAGGAGGGTAGCAGACGATGCGTGTGCTCGGATCGCAAGGTAAACCGATTATATTCGCCCCCGTTCTGTTTGTCCGCTTGCGTACCTTATAGAAATGTTGCCTTTGTTTGCCGCCGACACTTTTTCCTGCATACCTGCGTTGTTTTTTCCTGATTTCTGAAATGGTTCTATGTTAAAATACTGCAGTACCTCGGCATTGCGCATTCGCGTTGAGAACAATATGCTCCTGTTTTATTGTTTTCCTACTGTTGTGCGAACGCGAATCGACACTTGTAGCAATGATACGTGAGATAAAAAGAGATTAAACGTTTCTGTAATGACTGTAGGTATTTTCCCCTTCGTAAAGTGGATCGCTTAGAGGTATTTATTGTAATCTCGTTTCTTTCAGGCATATTGGAGGACAAGAAATGTGTTCATAGTGATTTCTAATCACGTGCAGTGTGCAGCGATGAGATAGTCATGTATACATATTTGGCTCGCACAAAAGTAAAATAAGTCTTTCATGTTATACTCGGTCTGTGCAATTTTGTTGACGCGAAATACGGAGTTTTGAAGCTTCCATGGATGCCAGTATGGAGCAGAATAACGTAGCGAACAATAAAGGCTTGGTATACTTGGTGCTACCTTTCCGGAAGCTATGCATAGCTACAGTCTTGCTACCTCTAGCCACTCTTTTGGTCTGCTTCGTTACTGCATACATCTTTCAACAAGACGACATTCATGAAACTCATTGTCGAGTAAGTCGCAGTGATCCGCTTGCTTTATTTAACGGTTGCTTTAGGAACTTTAGATTATAAACCAAAATATCGAACGTGCCCTTTATAGGTTTACAATGTTCTTCCATCGATTTCGGCCATCACTGGGGTGTCACCGCAGCGATACTTGTGGCGTGTTAGCATAGCACTGCACATCGGGCCACGGCTCATGATTGCGAGCGTGTACTATTCCTATTACCGCAAGCTACTGAAGTCGGTCTATGACGTACCGTCAAAGATTTTAGGATCCAAGCTTCTAAATCTCTGCTATTGGCTGAATATTGCCGAGATATCGGCTCTGTGCGGTGTCACCTACATCTCTAACCGAGAGAATTATTGTAAGTCAGCATAAACCCCAAAGAGTTAATAAAAACTCATCCCCAATTTTACTTATCGTTAATGTCGGTCATATGTGATTATGTTTCAGCGGTGCACGAAAAGATTTTCATAGTATTTATGTTCAGCTCTTTGATGTACATGTTGGCAGCCGTAAGGTTGGGCCGTCTGATAACTCCGAATGCACAAAGTCTCCAGTACAAACAGGCGCTCTTCGTCGCCAGTATCGTCAGCACTGTTGGCCTTATTATCTTCTTCCTGAAGCATCGATTGTTGTGCCACGATTTGGGTAAGTGCTCGCAGACCGTTCCAATAATTAATCGACAGCGATCTTGGCAGAGCCTTCTGCCTCGTCGAACTTGTATTAAATCTCCTTGCGTCTTTCCATATCAGCGTTCAGCTGGTTCTCCTTGTGCGAGTACGTGATAGCCTGCGCAAACATGGGATTCCACGTGACCGTGATCCTGGACTTCCCTCAGGAGCAGCTGGTCGTAGGTCAAGGTTTACCCGCCAAGAAGGCAGATTAACCATTTAGCACAATTGCAACTAGTCAAGGTCGCCTCGAAGTGCCCATTTCTCGTGTCGCGAACTATGAAAATACCGGTCCTCTGAGAATACCGACACCCTGTTGGAACGTCCTAGCCACCGGGAAACCAGAGCGTTGCCCTTTCTCCGCAGGAAAAGTTTTATAATATTTTCATTTCTCTCGACAGCGATAAGATTAGACGGCGCTTAGCCATGAAAGAATTGCCACTAGATAGCGGAGCACGAGGTAGTTTATTGAAATAGAATATACGTGCTTCCAAGGTTAGGTAGCAAAGTGGACACGTCGAGGACCGACCGGGCGTATTATGGCCTTTTGTTATTAAATTTATTAGGCGAATTATACTAGCTATAGCTAATGTTACGAGAGAGAGCCTTCTACCGAGGGCTCGTAGAGGTACCACGAGGTATTACGAAGAAGTGATCGGAGGGGCTTTTTAATTTCGGGAAGGTTCGATCAGACGCGAGTTGTACACCCGCCGAGCGTTCCTATGCCAAATTCTCCTCGTGGCTTTTAACACTGATAAACATTTCGATAATTGAGGGTGTCTTTGATTTTTTCTTTATTTTTATAATCCTGAATTTTTGACCGAGGAGAGCTTGGAACGCGCGACTCGAGGTTCGTGTTACTGGAGAGGAAACCTTAAGGCGATACAACTCGCGTCGCGAGGTTTCCTTATCGTGGCGGCCAGTGGATGAACACTTCTCACTTGGCGTCCACTAGTGTTTATTTATCGACAGGTGTTCAATCACTGGCGCACTCGTTCCTCTCGATAATTCCAGGATCGCTAAGTCGATCGGCGAGATGCGGTCGTGTCAACGGTTGTGAACACCTGCGGCGTGTAGAGCTGTCCTTGAAAAGGAGAACGCGCCTTTCTAGTGATATTTGCACCAACTCTAGTCGGAGTCGTTCTAGTCGATGCGAGTGTGTTACCTGCTTTCAAGATATCCGTTGATTTACCTGACCTAGCTTTAGTTTATGCGCATTGATAGTGCACTCGTCGCACACCGTACGGATTCGGACAGGTGTAATACACTCGAAGCCTCGGGGCCGAGCTGGCCCTTGGGGATAATTTTAATTAATTAAACGCTTACTAATTGTAACACATGCGTACGTACCGCGGGGATGATCATTAGTTATTCAATTGTGTAACCGCGTAGGGACATCCGCAGGTTTAGATGTGCCAAGGGGTACCTTAAGGAGTTAACTTCGTTTGGTACGATAAGACCTTGGATTGTTTAGAATAAGTATGTACGCAAGGTAACTTGAAGTACCATTTGCAACATTGTAGAAATTAAATCAACATTGTAAAAAATTGATTAGAGGGTTTCGGACAAACTAGGTCTTGTCGTAGCTCGAGTACACTCGTAGAATCGAATATGCGTACCTAGGGATGCGCTACGATTACATTAAGTAATGTACAATTATCCTGGACAAGTAATAGGAAAAATTGCGCACTCGTTGCTCTCGCTTAACCCGAGCGGGGTGTTCGCGTCAGGGTTGATAAAAATGACGATCCCTTAAAGGAGAGATGAAAAATCGTTGATCGTTCCTTTCAATTAAATCACGATTAAAATGGCGATTTTTATTATTTTATTCCTGATTCTTATTATTTAAATCAACGTCTCGTTTGGAAGGGTAGGCTCGGTATCAGGGTTGATAAGAATCTTGGATTCTTCCGTAGAATAATGTCGATGGTTTGAAAAAGTACTCTCCTGATTTTACTGCGCTAATAGTGTAAACGGTTAATTGAAGCCCTTCATTTTAATCGTAACTTTTAATCGCACGATTTTTTTAATCTCAATTCTGGTTCGCGTTTCCTAGTAACGTTTCAATGCTCGCGGAGGGCTTGAAAATCCAAGGGGGTGTTTCACTTGAGCGTTTCTTTTTAGTCGCCGGTAGCGTCGATGTTAATTCTAGAGAGCACTCGCAAGGTAATTGTATCGTTTTTGCACGTTTTTACACATTGCCATTGACACGTAGCGTGTACCTCGTTGATAAAAAAAAAACGAAAAGAAAAGAAGAAGAGGAAAAAGAGCGACCCGTACTCGTATTATATCTTCCGCCGCCCCCGGATATTAGGCACGCACTGATAAAAATCCCCGTGTAAATTTACATACTCAATAGTTTGTCATTTCGACGCCAGGATAAATTGCGGTGAAATTACACGATCTCTGTGACGTCACGTTTGGCGTCTACGTTAAGGTATAGAAAATTATAACGCAATATGTTATATTTAATTCGAGTAAAGAGGTATATTATGAGGCGGGTAGAAGTGTATGTCAATTTATCTAGGGATTTTTATCAAGGCGGATTTCGGAGGATTTTAACGTGGATTAGAACCACGACTGTGCTAGCGACTCGAGTACTCCTTTCATCGATGATGACACCTTAACGAGCGATACCGGTTCTAACGTATAACGTTGATCCGTGCCAAGTGATGCACCGACGAGTCTACAGTATTTTCGGTATGCGAGGACGCTGGGAAATCGGAAAAGAGAAAAGCAAAGGAGGTTTAAGTCGATGTTAAGAAAGAAAAAGGGCCGGTTGACTGAAAGAAATCCCCACTGCGATGGAATACGTCCAAAGGAATGTTTCATTAAGTGAGGGGAAAAAAGAAAGGGGGAGAGAAAAACAAATCGTTTAAATCAACGTCAGTTTTTCTTCTCGAGAAAGAGTTTCTTGCAATTGCGTATTGTGATGTGTATTCGTTTCAGTCAAGGGATTCTTTTTACTTAGTATAGGTTAATTAACTCGTTAGCAATAATTGAAACGCCCACCGAAGGCGCAATCATTCCTTAGACTGGCGAGAAAAATTGCGCCGTGGATTGGAAAAAAAAATCGATCCTTTACGGGATTCATTCGTTCCTTATTGGGAGGGTCCGATTTTCGTAGTGAAAATGATCATAGAAGGTTCGACGAAGAGAGCCAATGGATCGTATGTTCGATTTAGAGGATTATCAAGTGGAATAAGAGGCGGATCGATGTAGGAAAGGAGAGACGCTTTTTAGGGGAGAATCTGTTAATGGGGACTTATCTAGTTATCGTGAAAATTCGGGCGACTGGGTCCTCTCGTTTGTTCTATGCCCTGCTCAACATGATTGCTCGTCGAGTCGTCGGCCTTGACACGTGTTTACTGGCTTTATTTAATTGATGTCAGCCACTTGGCACGATGACTCTCTCTCTCTAGAATTGGGCTGGAGGTCTTCGTCGCGCGGACAAAGACCCGTCTAGTGTGTCTACTTTCGAGGACCCCGAAGACGATCTGGAGGCGGTACTTGGAAGGTGCGAAGCGTCGATGCGTCTTCCGCAAGCCAGAGGAGAAAAAGAAAAGCCGGGTTTTACCCCGAGCGAGCGTTCTTGACCGATCGAGGCGGGATGCGAGGAGGAACCCTCGATTTCCGGGAGAACCGGACGTCCTAACGAAATCTGGCTTTTACGAAAGTTTTTCCTCGGATCGTTGGGCGGAACTTTTGTAGGAGACGTTTCCTTGGGAAACGCCCCGGTGAGGCGGAAAACCCGGAGGCCCCGCGAGGCTTGCGAGGTGTCGAGGGGACTGCATGAGACGACAATGGCTGACGCGATTTTAGAGGCGAGTATTGGCGGGACGGAATCGATGTTGTCAATGCAGAATTGTTAATTTAGAAATGTTGTATGTAAAGGGTGGAGAAGGCGATCGAACATATCTGCCCGAGATATCCCTATTCCTGGATTTTAGTTTATCGTCAAGTGGGAAGATCGACAGCTCCAATGATTAATATGTAGAGGGAACGGACGGAAATGCGGAATAGTCGTAACACCCGGTCCCGACTATCGGAAATGCGAAAAGAGGCTTCCGAGGCATTTCGGAAAATTCCCGGCCGAGCTTTTCCTCCGACCCGTTCGCGAGGAATCCGAGAGATGAAAATAAAACGGAGATATCACATCGCTCAAGGCAATCACTTCGGACGCGTTCTAACCCCGAGAGGCGTGTCCTTCGTTAAATTTAAGAATACTCAGCCAGGAAACACGGCCTCTCTCTCTCTCTATCTTCCTCACTCTCTTCTTTTTCCCAAAATTCGAGACGCGATGCCGAAGAAACGATTCGACGAATTGGACCTCGCCTGTATCTCGCAACGAGACTGTCGAAATAAAGTGGAGAAAAGGAGACGGTCTCTTTTCCTTTCGCTGTTGGTTTTTCCTCTTTTCGATACCCGAGCTAGGAAAAGCCATCCTGACCCTGGTGCTGTCTGGTGATCATTTCTTAACTGGGAACTCTGCTATGTGAAATGACTACTGTCAAACCTTAGATGACATGTTTTGGGGGTTTCCTCCGTTTTTCATTTTTTTTTCCCCGAAGCCGCTGCCTCGTGGTCATTTTCATGGGAAACTCCGCGACCTGGAATTGTTATTTTCAAATTAGATCGTGTATTTTGGGGGTGTTAACGATGACGGTACCTTTGGGAACGACGGTGACGGTGGCTCGACGTTCTGGCCGGACTCACTTGGACGAGGTCAGTTTCAGAGCGGTGCGTTTCCGCAACCGGGCGATTTTCGACGTCGGGCCTTCGCGGTGACTCGGATTCGTCGACGCTCTCGTTAGACTTTTCTTCGCCTCGCGACGACTCGTCGATGATCGAGGTGGATCTGGAATAATCGAGTCGATCGAATCGATTTGCCGCGGGGAGCCGAGAAATCGTTCTTGTCGGATGCGTCACCGGTGCGGAAATTAAGCCGACCAGGTGTGCAAACAGCGGCATAAAAATTCACGAATCTTCCCAGATAACGTATCAATTACACACTTAATCACGGTAGTCCAGTAAAAGGACGTACCTACACCTGTGTGCGGTTTAATTCTCCATATTTCGTATTTTTCATTAATTTCTATTCATGACAATGGGAATTTCGAGATGCGGTCGAGCAATGTGACACGCTTAATGGATCGTGTACCCCTTGGGATAAATTAAATAGTAATTGTTATTACTTCTACCAGCCGGTTTGGGCTCGTTGCTCCTGGAATAGCCGAACAGCTCCAAAGCTCTGCTCTTCGAGGAAGCCTCGAAGACCGGCTCGGCTTCCTCTCGGCTAAATTTAATTCGTATGTCCGCAGCCGACGTCTCCATCGCGACAGAAGGCTCTGTACACGTCGAGCATCGCCAGACCAGTCGTGGGTCATACGTGTCGATGTCCAGCACAGGTGGCTGGTGACAGAGGGGATGATACACCTCTTGACAATCTTGACACTCCAGTAGAATCAAAGGACCCAGCTTAGAACCGTTGCACACCTGAAAAAGAACTCTTATACATTTTCAAGATCCTGGGAAATTCAATCTTTCCTTACGAAGAGTCATTGGCAATATTTTCCTAAGGAAGAAGAAATTGAGAAATGCTTCTAGATGAAAGAATAGCGGCGAGAAAAGTCGGTTCTGGTCTTGCGATCTCGTCCTTGGTCTCGCGAGAATTTGAAAATGTGAAGGACCAAGGTTTATTTTACTCGTTAGTGTAGAGGAGAGAACCTTGCAGAGCGCCTCGTCGCCAGGTCCCTCGTCAGGAATCGAGATCCTGGGGATGTCTTCTTTATCTCCCGAGCTGACGATCCTTATGATCCTCATGGACTTGCAGGACTCGGTCGCGACGGAATCCGAGAAGAGGTCCAGGTAAAGACTCGACGAGTTGTCCGGAGATTTCTCCATTTTCTGGTCGCTGACTTGCCTTGTCCTGGGGATCGGCGATTTTTTTAGGGACTCCTTGCAGGTCCCAGAGCCCTGCAAAAAATCAAGGGACATCCTTGGTATCAAGGTCCTGCTCGGACCATATCGTTTCTCGATCGAGGCGTCCAGCATCTTCAGGAGCTTTAAGGTGCTGTCGTCCTCCGATGAGCGGAGGAGCTTCAGGGCGGTGCAAAAATCCTCATCCATCTCTGATGCTCCTTCTTGGTCGGTGTGCATCCTTGCTCTGAAATTAACGTAGGGGTTAAAACATACAAAATGTCGCAACTAGATCTAATTACTATATTAGGATTCTTTTTTTTTTTTTCTGAGGGTCGAGCGCGAGTTTTAGCTCCGCGAAGAATTCTCAACCCGGAATTAATAGTTCAGTCCACCTCTGAGGTGGTTCAACCTGTCCTTAGGAATAATTGCCCAACACCTCCTGATCCTGTTCCGTAAACCTACTTCTCGGTCACGACATACCACCGGCGAGCCTTGACTCGATGGGAAAAAATCAAATTCGATTAGAAAGTGTCCAGATATCTCGATCTGGTCTTGGAATCCGTGGAGTCGCCCCTCGCCGAAACCGGGAACGACCCGAGAATTATCCTTTTCTTCCTAATTTCTCCCAAAATTGAATCCACCCTGAGAAAAGAAAAAATTGTCACCGCACCAAAGCCCTACTTTGTTAATTAAAAGAATGATTCGACCCAAATGCGATTAATTGTCGTAACTCCGAAGAGACGTTGCGTCTAATTAATCCGAGTTTATTCGGGTGAAATAATTATTCCTTGCACGAAGAAAATATTTCTCTGGATCGGTGACGTCTTTTTCTCGGTGCAGGGGGGGATTTCCATCCTCGGTATCCTCTTCGAGGTTTCTCTGCCAATTTTAACCTTAACCCGTCCGGGTTTCCAATTTTTATGCGTCATCTCTGGATACGTACTTGGACCTTGTAGACTCTCCTGTAATCACCGATTCCGACCGATACTTGCGGGTAAATAAATAATTAGATCGAATGGTCTCGCGAATTAACTTATGAAAGAAGTCCTCGAAGAACGGATCGCTCTTCGCGATACTTCGCGACGAAATGGACGAGATGCGTCGATTCGAGCGATCGGCATCTATTGGGCGAGACAATTGTTCCTCGCGGCAGGTGCAACACACCATTGTCTCTCGTTACGTTTATTAATTAAGCCCGGAAGTGTCGGGTGCGTTGAAACGACGTCGTTTAACGAAGTCGAGGCTCTCCAATTTCTTCTCCGACCTGAGAAAGAGGATCCGTTAATAAGTTATCCAGGATTAGTGATGATGAATTTCTCCCATCGATATTCCCGTTAAAACTGCCCACATAAACTTTTACAGATAATTATAATATAACATTGGATTTAATTCCCTAAAAAAATGTATTAATACGGTACACGTATAATTTTAGGTGGGAGTATATCTTACAATTTCTGACTGTTCCATTTTACGTTTTTCTGAATGAAACGTCAATTTTGAGGCGTGCATAAATTTCCATCGATTTTGATCAGTGAGCCCGTCCTCTTCCTCTGGCTCGTCCATTTCATTCTGTTTCTCCTCTTCATCCTCTCCCGGAGAAAAGGGGCAGGACAGCAGGCTAAGTGTATTATATATCGCCGCGTTCCGCAATATCCAAATAATAATATCTCCGAGGGGAGACCCCTGAATTCCTGGGCAAAGAATTCGATGAAAATGTGTCGCGATCCTCGGTATTCCAGGTGAGGTCCCCCAGGGTTTCCAGCCCCGCCTTACGGCTCACCTGTATACGCTTACAGAGAGGGCGAGAGGGGTATTCGTAAGGGGGGGCAGGGACACGCGGAATTCGAGCGCCTCCCCCGCGCCCGGGGGCGCGATATTTTAATACCTGGAGCAAGAGTAAATCTCTGCTTCGCAGGAGACAGGAATCCGGCGCCCCCCTTTCCGAGCTTATAAGGAATGTTTTTACCAAGTTTACGAGGAAGCCGAGATCCGGGCTCACTTCCGGTGGCACCTCGCAAGGACTCTCTTCCCTTTCCGCGTCTCTTCCATCCCCTAGGAAAGCCCGGAGTTCCCTGGAAAGAGGCCTGAATTTATTTGAATTCATCCCGGCATCGGAGATTTCGAGGTCAGGGAGGACTCGCGCGACCGCGCTTCAGGGACGTTAGGCGATCTCGTCCATAACCTCTGTCGAGCCGCGTTTCTCGCGGTGAATACGATATTCCGATGCAATAGCCGAGGCGGGCCATTGTTGCGCCGTCAGGGATGCCGACGGGAACGGAGCGTCGCCCTAATATCGGGCCGTGTCCCTCGGACAATGGCCGCCATCTTGGCTCGACGCGACGTCCGGCGTGTCGAGACTCGGCTCTGAAATCGAAAAAAGGAGGGAAAAAGGACGCCGCGGGGTCTTCCCGGAAGGTCCCCTGTCGAGAAATTGGCACGATTCGGCGGGATTTGGCACGCTGGCGAGTTTACGCCCCTCCTCGGCCGAGAAACGTGGCTTTCGGGGAAGCGTCGCTTCGGGTTCTCGTGAACGGCGATCACGTGACGGTAGGATGAAAGAGTCGAGGGGAGCTGACCGGGGGGTTGTCACCTGTGCAAATCCGATATCAATGAAGTCTAGTCTACGTCAGGATCCGCCAAAGAGCGGTGTCGGGGTTAAATCGAGACTTCTTCGAAGGTCGGCGTCGTGCCTTCGCTCCCGCTCGGCGGGAAACCAAGATGGCGGCGCGGGACCAAGATGGCCGCCCGAGAAGGCGTCCTATCTCGCGGGGAGGGAGATCGTTTGCCGCCGATTAAGACCGCGGAAAGGACGCTGACTGGCGTCGGCCGATTCCTGAAGATGGCACGATTTCGACAGGTGGGGAATTCTCTCCTGGGGAGGTGGATTACGCCGAAAGGACGGCGTCTCCTGACCGGCTTCGCGCTAACCGACTCGCGGCGTCGTTTTCTCGCAACGCTGCGCATTTTCTGACCGCGTCCGGGCCCGAAGTCGATGAACTCCGTCGTTCCTGGCAGAGTATCGTTCCGTTTCCCTCCAATCGGGGGACGTTGCATAACGTCGGAAATCATTCCCGCGTATTTCTGGGGCCCAATTCGGGCCCTCTCCCCGTGATTCCGCAACGACGCCCGCCGGATACGTCATAAATCCTCGAGGTATCTCCGCGCGCCGTTCCAAAACGCAATTAGTCCCGACGTCCGATCGCCCGCGCCAAATCGCGCGTTAAACCCAATTAAGTTAATTCCTACGCGGAAAATTAACGCTCTCGCGGAGGCGCCGGAAATCCCGGTAATATTAGAGCGCCGTGGGGTGACCAGGTGAGTGCACTTCGAGGCCACCTAACCTCTATCTTGATATTTTAAAGATACCGAGATTTCACTATTTCGTTATTTCCTCTGGATTTGAGTCTCCTGATAAATACATTTGCCGTGTACACCCGCGATCTTTGAAATTCTCATACTAAAAATGATCGGCTTAACGTTTCTCCCGTAATGTTTTAATCTGGGAAGTGGATTTGGCAGGTGTTTCGCCTCGATTGTCCGGGGACGGGGCAAAAATCGTTTGGCGTTTACTTAGCGAAAGTAGTTCGCCGTTGTAAAGATTCGTTCCCGGTATGTCGGAGCTGTGTTCGCGTCTGCAGAAAAAGATGGCGGGGCCGAAAGGGCAAAAAGGCGGCCCGGATGGCCGGAGTGGTCGTTCTCGCGACTAAGAGGAGCATAAACGTCGCTCGCAACTTAAATAAGCGCCCTCGCCGCTCCTTTGGATCCGCTAAACACACAAATGCCCGCCCGGGAGGGCCTAAAGATACAAATGAGATCGCGCCGCGTAATCCCCGCGTTTACGATCCTCGAGGCCGGTTCTGGCCGAGCGAGTTCCGCGGAACGGCGATCGTTGCAACAGTGGAGGGAAGGGGGGAAGGAAAAAAGGAAACGGAAAAAAAAAAGAAAAAAATAATAATAACGTGCAGACGGCGCAGCTCGTATCTCGCGAATTAACCGGCCGGAATAGGGATTACGTAAAATCGCGTTCGAGGGTCCCGATTTCGGAGGAGTCGGGAGTTACGGGTTTCCGCGCTGCTATGGCGCACCTCGTGGAGAGGGCGAACGTTCGCCGGAATATCGGGGGAGGACGGGAACTCGGGATTTATCGGTCGGCCGCGGACGGAGAAATACGTAGAGAGAGGGAGAGGCTCAAATCAACAAGTGCGCGATTCAGTCGGGACGCCGCGGAGAAAGTGGGAAAGAAGACTCCCTTCGCGCCTCTCGAACACTCGGAGGTATACTGGAATTAATTATGAGGAATTGTGTAGAATCCCGATATATTAAGTTATGGCTTTATAAACTATATCGCGTTCGATGTAGAGAATACAGTCGGTGGCGTTCATAGAGGTAAACAACGGTCTCCTCTCTGGACTCCCTGCAGGCCTATGTGTCTCTAGAGGCACAAAAACTCGGGAAAATCTGAGAAAATCTGAAAATCAACAAGTGTCGGGGGATATTGGAAGGTCCCCATACGCGCATCGCCGCAAGGTTGCCGCCGACTGCCGCGACTGGCGGGCGCGCTCCTCGCTTATATACCCCGGTGGGGGGGGAAGCACGACCAGGCCGCGGCAGGCGAGGAGGGGATAGCCCGGCGGTCGGGCGGGTTCGGGTGGCTCCGGCGGCGCTCGGCGGTTGGTTTCTCCCGCGGCCGCTCGGTGTCAGCGTGTGCGCAGACCGGCTGCGCAGCAGGCGTGTGCGTAGTCTGGATTCTTTGTGCCATTCCTGGCATACCAAAAACGGAGTGACCTGCCCGTATTTACGTCGGCCGCTCGGAATACCCGGTGGATTTCGGTGAAACCCGGCCTGGTCATCGGTGTCAGCTCGCCCTGCGGTAAGTAAATCAGGAATCCGAGCGCGGTGGGTGCGGAGGCGCCGCGGGAGCGACGCGAGCCCGAGAGCGCGAGAGGAACGAGCGGCGGCGGCCGCCCTGACGCGCGGCGTCCCCGACCGGTAAGGAGGAGCGCGCCGAGCGCCGCCGGCCGGACTCCCGGCGAGTCGGGCAACCACGGGGCCGCGCGCGACGAGTCCTGCCGAAAACCTAACCAAAAAGCGCGGCCCGGATCCGGGCGGACCTCCGCCGCCGGCACCTTCCGCCCCCGAGCGAGCGCTGCGTTGCCGCTCCGTCGCCGCCGCCACCGCCGCCGCCGCCGGCCGAGCAGCGTCCTCGCCGCGGCGGCGTCGCGCCAGTCGTCGCCCGTCCCCGACATAACCTATAAGCGCGCCCGCCGGATCGGCGCGCCTCGCGGTCGACGCGCTCCTACTCTCCCCCGCGTCGCGAGGTGTGTCCTGGGCACCGGTACCGCCGTCAAGGCCATCGCCGCCGACGTTTTCGTCTCGACCCTCCGGAGTGCGTTTCAAGGCCTCCCGAGGGGGGACGACTCCCAGAGGCCGCGTTCCACGAGTTTCGAGGACCGACCTGGGCGAATCTAACAGGTGTAGGTGAATTTAGTTCCGCGGGAGAGAGATTCTCGGATCTGGTGTAAACATCGAGGACTGCCAGCGAGACGGGGCTCTGAACGAAGAGCAGGGACATGACCTAGGGGTGAGGGGTTGTCCATCCCTGGCAGAGGTCGCGGGGCGACTGAGCGCTCCCCTCGGCGGGGTCGCGGAAAAACCCCCGCGGGCCGCCCGCGGGTTTTCCCGGGTGAGCGCCAGGCGCAGCGCCGCCGGCGGTGTTGTCGCGATTTCGGCCCGGACCCCGAGGGACCGCCGAGTCCCGGGGCCCGGTCAGTCGGCGCGCGGCCACGCGCGACCGCGCCTCGCCCAGTGTGTACGCGTCCACGGGCCCCAGGAGTTTCTAGGACCCCCAGGATCGCCCAGGGACCCCCTGGATCCCCATCGGCCCGCTCGGCGAGGCACCCACGTACCCTCTCTTGGATGGATACCGTGCATTACTTCTGGAGTGAGTCTTCCTCTCTCGCTCTTTCTTTCTCTACTCCCCCCGAGAATCTCGGCGAGCTCTTATCGCCGTCGAACGTCCCCTCAGCCCCCTCTTATCGCCTAGATTCGGAGGAAAACGTCGAGACGCCCCCGCGACGTTACCGTCATTTCTTTACTCGACCCTTCACCTGTGCCGATCCGCGAATCGGTGATATCCACCTGTAGCGTTGCGTCCGATTAAAATGTCGCCTGTCCGGGAGTTTCGCGATAACGAGTTTACAAATTAATCCTACATAACCATGGAGGGTTCATTTCCGCATTTTTTAAGCCCCGAGTCATGCTTTTCGGTCATCCTCTCGCCGGGATTCTCGAACGTTCACCTTTATTTATTTATTTTTTTCACAACCCCCGCTACATGTATACACGAAGTACAATAGTACAAGGAGATACAACGCCATGTATCGAAATTTTAAGATCTCAAGATCTAGTAAGAACGCCTCCTCGATGAAATCGTGCAATTAATAATTATCCTCCCCTAGACATTATCACGTTAAAGATATCACATTCTGTGTATCATGCGGATTATCGTTTCGCTTTGCGCACCTTAATTACGCATTTAAAAGCATTTTAGGTTGTTTACGTAGGAAGGAAATGTTTCGGTCACGTAGGATGGTAGGTCCCTCGTTTCCCGCAAGTAGCGCTCGCGTCGTTGGATCTGCGAAAATCTGAGATCACGGGCCCCGACCATGGGGCTCACCTTCTCTGGAACCGATCATTGGCGTTATATCTAATTATACTATTAAATCCAGGAATAATTTCCCGCCGTTTCAATGCATTAAATCGCGTTACAAAATCCCGGGAACTCGTTCCTCAATTTAATACCTCGCTCACTCTGTGCGTACGGTGAATGTGCACCACTCTCGCATTTTCATTCAGGAAAAAATTGTAACACCGTCGCTCTCGTTTCTCCGATATTTCCGGCAGGCGATCGATGGCCCCTCTCGAGACGCGGCGAGAAAAATAGCCGCGAGCCTTTTTATCGGATCACTGTTATCAGTCTTGTAGGGGGGGGGAGTTAGTGTCCCGCGGATTGACTTTCTTTTTTATCTCCCGCGAGGTATTGTGCGTGAATACGTATCACGCGTGCGTTATTTCATTACTCGGTTATTTCATTGCGGTTATCGCGGGGGGAGGAAAGGGGGGAAACGGAAGGCGAAGAAAGGTTCGCGGCGGGCGATGATCGTTACGTAAATAATCGACGTTATCGGGGCCGACCGGTTGCTACCTGGTACGCAGTTCTCGGTTGCGGATTCTAATGGACATTTACGTACCACTTCGAGAGAATCGGGGCTTGAGGAATTTTCCGATGAAAATTCGATCTTTTGGACCCCCCCCTGGGACATCTTTGTGGGTCGCGTTTTGCGAGGACCCTTTTAATTCACCCTCGGATTATGGAGAAGATGGAAATCGGCCTCGATAGGACGGGTCTTGAGGTTTGTGATAAGAGCCCGCGGAAGCTCGACCGCCTCTAGGACTCCCGATAACGACTGATAACGACCCTCGATCGGGCCGATCGGAGGTGCGCGCGATAACGCATCTTCCTCTTACTCTCCTCCTCTTCTGGGAGAGGGCCAGGGGAACGTGACTCATCCTCTCGAGTTTGATATTTTCATATTCATTTCGGAGGGCTGATAAGGGGCCCCGAAGTTTCGAGGTCGATCTCGATTTCGCGGATCTCGCATCTTTTTTTTTTTTCCTTTTTAGCGTTTCCTCCAAGTCGCGGTGGTCTGTCCTGAGAATTTCGGGAATGTGGAATTTTGATACCGTACTTTTTTTTTTTTGAGAGGGGGGCTTTTATATTAATATTAATTTTTGTTTTTTTCCCGTCCTCGACGCGCGACTCGAGCGCGTCGCGACGCAACCTCGATTTAGCTAGAGTATGGCGAGCCTGGCACGACGACGGCTTATTGATTATCTATAAGGAACGTTTATCGCCGTCGGGACGCGGTCGACGGGAGACCCGGTCCCGAGGGACGTCCCGGTAGGTCCCACACCCCGGGGGGGTGTCCCTAGGGACGCCGCGATAACGTCTCGATTTCGATGATCCGCCGACTTTTTTTTCTTTCTACTTACCTCACCTGGAAAGATTTCAACCTCCTTATCTTTCAGGGTAAATCCTTATCGGGTGATCCCCAGGGACCGGAATTACATTAAAAAGGGATTAACTTTTGCGCAGCCTAGTAATGGAGTACCTTGCGATACGACTTCAGAGGCGCCGACTTGAGTTGGTTATCCTCGAGGTTAATCCTTATCACTTGATCCTCTGTCATAGAAATTCCCATAAAAAAGGGGTTAACTCGGGTAATTTCGACTCGTCGCGAAGTACTTATCTTCATTGCATAATTCTTATCGCGCTATCCTGAAGGGGAGAAATTCCCGATAAAAAGGGATAAAAAAAAAAAAAGGTCGTTTCGGACGTTTTCGGTCGGCGAGACGATCTGACGGCATCCTTAAGGAGAGGGTTGGAGAGGGAAAGGGTTAAGGCCACGGGAGGTAAGGGACCCACCCTCGTTACCTGTGCCCGTTTTAACGAGCCTTAAAGTCCCTTTAGTCGCGGCGTTTCCGCGATTCCGTCGCCGCCCCCCCTTCTCCGCGTCTCTCTTTATCCGCACCGCTGACGCGGCGCGATCATATCTCACTCCCCGTGACAGCACCTAGACTCATTAAGCTCCTCTTCTTTACGGTGTATAAATAGGCCTTGTCCTGCCGGGGTCCGCGCCCGGACCAAATGAAATTTTCCCGTCCTCTCGCTCGCGCGCCCTGCCCGCGCCCTCGCGCCCTCTCCCTCGCACTCACGGGGAGTGTGCGGACCTCCCTTCTCGGCACCGCCTCGCCACTCCGGCGTTCTCCCTTTTGGCCGCGCCCGGGCGATGCCAAATCGCGAGTCCCGAGTTGCCCTAAAATTACCCCGTCTCGGTGATCCTTCCTTCCACCCCCCCTCTAAATTGCAAAAAAATCGAAAGTCGCTCTAAGATCGAGAGTCGCCCTAAAATTGCCCCGTCTCGGTGATCATTCCTCCCCCCCCTCTAAATTGCGAATTAAAAATCGAAACCGAAACTAAAATAAAACATAATTAAACCTCTCTTCTCCTCGATGTGATCCCTCCCTATGAGAATAAAAAACAAGAACGGGGAATATAAATTTTTAAAAACAATAAATACCCATTCTCTCCACCCCTCTTCGTTCCATTCAGAGGCGAGTACACCCCCTCGGGTGATTTTCCTCGTTTTATTTTTATTCCATGGGGGTAGGGCACAGGGGGAATTGGAGGTTCTGGGGGGGTGATCGCACACCCGGCCGAGGGATGCGGAGTCACGGTGGGATCCTCGAAAATGCATTCATGGGGGGCTCGCGTGTTCCTGGGTGCCCCGAAATCGGCTCGAGGGTGGAGGAGCCTCCTTCCCCCCGCAGGCCCCATTTTGGGCCACCTGGACGATAGGACCCCCTCGCTCTTAGGGGGACCCTAGGGAAACTCGCTGTGGCGGAAAATTTCAGGTCACTCGGGATATGCCGTGACAGTATGCATGTACACCTACCTATGTACCCATGCGTACGCGTATGTATGTGAATGGATTTTTTTTATCCCTCTTCATGGCAATGTGACGTAGGTCAGTGGCCCTCGCGGTGTATATATACCTATGCCTCGCAGGGTGCATGTACCTATATATACCTGTATATGCATATGTTTTTTTTTTTTCTTATTCGTCCTTTTCACGACAACGTGACGTAGGTCAGTAGTCCTCGCGGTGTATATATACCTATGCCTCGCAGGGTGTATGTACACCTATACCTCGCAGGGTGCATATACCTATATATACCTGTATATGCATATGTTATTTTTCTTTTTTCTTATTCGTCTTTTTCACAACAACGTGACGTAGGTCGGTCGCCCTCGCGAAGGGCGGCTCGATTTTCACTTAGCTCGTCGATCTACGGCCCTCCTGGGGGGCGGCAGCCCTTCCCGGGTGTCCCTCGGGATACGCGATACGCGCATACACGTGCACGTATATACCGATCGGTGGTCGAGCGTGCAATAATGTGCTCGGCCGGCCATTGCAGTCCGTCTGCATACCAGCCGGACCGATCACGCGATCCTTTTGTAAGGCCCGCGAGTCCGCGAGGGCGTACCCTCGCCTTCGACCCCGTATCGGATTCCGATCTTAAGTGCGACTTGCGCATGTATACGCGTACATAAGGACATACATGTACTTAGGTATGTAATGGGAGGTTCTCGCCCCGCGAATTTTTTGGGGGGGGGGTCCTGCGATCTCTCGTTTACGGGCTCTCGATTTCTCAGATTGGCCATTTCTCCCCGTGAAATTCTGGAAAATGATAAAAATTTCCAATTTTTTTTTTTAGCCATCGTGATTTTTTCCCCCTCGACCGCGCGGCTTTGCGAATCCTCGATTTATGAATTATTTTGCGATCGGGATTTTTTTTTTTTTTCTATCAGATCGTCAGGGGGGAGTGGTAGGATTTTTTTATTCGTGAACGGTGGGAGGCGGAAAGGGGGCATTTACTTGGCTCTGGGATTGATATGGCGACGGGATAAGGACGTCCACTTATTTTCGGGACTGCTACGGGAAAAAGGTTTCCTGATTTTAGCGGGAGCGGTGTGTCACCCTTTTCTCCGGTTTCTGGCGCCGGGAGGGTCGGCGCGTCTTAGGCGGCCCTTTGGACGGAATTTTTGTATTTCGAGGTGTCCAGATCGGTCCCCGATAGCGATAGGGCTCTCCCCCGGGATACCGAACCTATCCATAGGGACCTCGGTTCCGGGAATTCCTTCCCCCGCGTCTCGGGAATTCGTCTCTCTACCTCTGGTGGTAAAATCGAGGAAATGTCTCGGTCTCCCCTTTTCGCGGGAAATATGTTCCCGGATGTGACGATTATGAATATGATCTCGTATATTCACCGGTTAGCGTATTTCGGGATTTAATTCAATGTTTGCGGGGTTTATCTGTT